GGAGAAGGAGAGAAACATCAATGATGAGAGTCACAGATTATCGGCTGCCTCTTGCACGCCCCCTATTGGGGATGGAGCCGGCAACCCACGCATGTGCCCTGACTGGGAATCTGAACCGAGACCTCCTGGTTCACAGGTCCATGCTCAACTACAGAGCCACACCAGCCGGGCTTGATTACTTCTTTTATTTATTTTTTATTTTTTAAAATATATTTTATTGATTTTTTTACAGAGAAGAAGGGAGAGAGATAGTTAGAAACATCGATGACAGAGAATCATCGATCAGCTGCCTCTTGCACACCCCCTACTAGGGATATGCCCGCAACCAAGGTACATGCCCTTGACCGGAATCGAACCCGGGACCCTTCAGTCCCCAAGCCGACGCTCTGTCCATTGAGCCAAACCGGTTTTGGCTTGATTACTTCTTTTAAATAAGGGCCCATTCTGAGTCCTGGGAGAAGGGACCTGAGCATATTTTTTTTGGGGGGGGGGGAGGATGAAATTCAATCCAAAACAACCCCCTCTGAAGGTCCGGGGACGGCCAGGCCTGGGCCTCCAAGGTGGCTCCCACGTGCCCAGGCCTGGCCTCCCCGCCTAGGCAGGCACTAGGTGGCAAGTGAAACCCTGGTGTAAGGTGGGCACGAAGCCAGGCCAGGAACCGGGGGGACGGGAGCCGCAGGCCCAGCGCCTGAGCTGGGGCCGGTTCCTGTGTGCGTGGAGGGACCTCAGGAACGCTGCCCCTGAGGCATTGGTGCCCAGCCAGGGTGGGCCTGGCATGGCCCGGGGTTGCAGGGCAGATGCCCCGTCTCCAACTGTCCCCACTACAATCCCTCGTCCCTCACCTTGGTTCATTTGGTAAATATGTGTTTGAGGGCCTACTGTGTGTCTAAGCGCCAGGAGACGTCTCAGGAGCTTCCATTCTCCTGGGGCGCAGGAGCAATCCGGGACCGCACAGTCCAGGCCTCTGGGAGAGACGGGGTTGGTGGGGACGATGCTGCAGGGGACACGGCACTCACTGTGGTCCTGTCTGCCAGGCGCAGCCCTGAGTGTTTCATGTGAATGGATTCCTCTTTAAAAAAAAAAAAAAAAAAAAAAAAAAAAAAATATATATATATATATATATATATATATATATATATATATATATATGATTTTTTACAGAGAGGAAGGAAGAGAGATAGAAACATCGATGAGAGAGAAACATCAATCAGCTGCTTCCTGCACACCTCCCACTGGGGATGTGTCCACAACCAAGGTACCTGCCCCTGACTGGAATCGAACCCGGGACCCTTCAGTCCACAGGCCGACGCTCTATTCACCGAGCCAAACCAGTTTCGTCATGAATTCCTCTTTTCACTCGGCTGTCCTGTGAGGTAGCCCCATTCTACGGAGAGAGAAACAGGACCCGGGAGGTCACAGGCTGGGGGACCGGGTGGGCAGCACAGACTGCAGGGTGCTGGGATGCAGGGTGTGGGAGGCCCGCCCGCACCCCCGAGGTGTACATCTGAGCTGAGATCTAAGGGACGCAGAGCTGGCAACCCCGGCAAGGCCTGGTGGTGGGAGCCGGGTGGCTGGAGCAGTGGGAAGAGGGACAGGTGGTCCGGGGAGCCGGAGCTGGTGCGGGGTTTAAGCTGGGGGGCGGTCTGTCCAGGTTGCCTCTGACAAGCCCCTCTGTGGAGACAGCCCAGTGTCCGTCTCCGGATGGTGAGTAAACACAGGGTGGTCCATCCATCCAGCGGAATGTTACTCCGTCACAGAGAGGAAGGAAGCTCGGACATGCTGCAGCATAGATGAACCTCGAACACGCATTGCTTGGGAAAGAAGTCGAACGCAGGGTTGTACGGTTCTATCTATTAGTATATGAGAAGTCCAGAACCTGCAGACCCAGGGAGACGGGGCAGGTTAGTGGTGGTTGGGCTGAGGGGGGCGGCGGGGTGGTGGACGGGGGAGAAGGAGGTTTTGCGTAAGAGGCACAGAGTTTCTGTTTGGGGTGATGAGAATGTTTTGGAGATAATGATGCTGGTGGCACAGCATTGAGAATGTAATTAATGCCACTGAATTGTATGGTGAAAAAGTGATTTTATGTTATATATATGTATATATATATATATACCATAATTTTTTTAAAAAGTATATTTTATTGATTTTTTACAGAGAGGGAGAGAGGGACAAAGAATTAGAAACATGGATGAGAGAGAATCATCCATTAGTTGCCTCCTGCACACGGTACATGCCCTTGACCGGAATTGAACCTGGGACCCTTCCGTCCGCAGGCCCACACTCTATCCACTGAGCCAAACCGGTTGCGGCTCCATAATTTGTCTGCTGGGAGCCTGGGGTGGGAGTAAGAGGCTGGAGCGCAGGGCAGAGGTCAGGCCATCGGGTGGAGTGAGGCCAGGGCGGGCGGGGCAGCCAGGGACGGGTGGGCTGCCGTGTCCGGAGATGCAGACCAGGACCTGCTCCTGAGCTGCCTGGGAGGTGACAGACAGAGGAGCCGGAGGGTTTTGACCGGGGTTTTGGCCGAAGGATGGAGAGGACGGTGGGGCCGTGGCCTGATGGACACGGGGCTCTGTGTGGTCCGGTCAGGCTGAAGGCAGGTGTGAAGGTGGAGACTCTGTGGAGGAGACAGGCAGGGCTGGAGCCCGGATGTGGCAGTGGTCACAGTGTAAACAGTGGCTAAAGCCGGGAGGCTGGCTGGATCCCGGGGGAGGCGGGCGGGAGGAGGGGGTAAGGACAGGGAAGAGCCCTCGGCTGGGGCCCCGTTCTGGGGGGCGGCCTAGGAGGAGGGAGAGGAGCCGTCCCCTCGGATGGATGTTCCCTCGGCCTGACTCATCCAGGCTGGACAGCACCTCTCCTGGGTCCCAGCTGAGCAAAAATAAACAAACATTCTGTCCACATTTATTCGCTCCCCCGCCCCCTTTGCTCAATCGCCAGTCCCTGGTCTCCAATCTCGTCTCCCCAGACAGCTGGTCAGCCCGGTCCCCCTGACCCGCTGGACACAAAGTCCGGGCTTGTTTACGCAGACTGTTGTTCTTACCAGAACCTGCAGACACAGGCTATTTAGGGGACGGTGGGGGGGGGGGGGCAGGTCAAGGTCAAGGTCAGGACCCAGACGCACATGGGTCAGCTGTCCTCAGCCCGGCCTCCCAGCCCCGCTAACACTGTAACGGCGTCGGGCGGGAGTGCCCATCGGCCCGGGTCAGAGCCTCTCCGGGGTAGGGGTGAGCAGTGCGGTGGTCAGGCGTGCCCTTTCCCCGAGGTGACATTGTGAAACGAATGAACGGAAAGTGTCACAGGCCAAGTCTGGTCGGGGCTGTGGGAGGAGACGAGTTTGGACAGCAGAGGGAGGGAGATTCCTGCTGCAGGGCGGGGAGGGGGCAGAGGAAGCTGCTGCCCAGCGGGGGCACAGGGATTCGGGGCTGTACTGGGAGGCCGCTGTCCCATTTCACAGGAGAGGAGACTGAGGCCTGCAGCAGGTATGCGGGGCCCTGGGCAGGGGAGCCGGCCCCGGCCACGGCGGGGAGGGCCGGGGAAGAAGCGGCTGGAGAACCCGGTGGCCCCCGGTGCAGAGCAGAGGGATCTGGGTCATTAACTGGTCCCTCAGCACCCAGCAGAGGCAGGGGAGGCGGGAGGCGGGAGGAGGCCAGGCCAGGGTCCAGGGCTTGGTCCTGGGGGCGGCCTCGAGCCTGCAGCGGGCAGATCGGTGAGATCCTTTGGAGGCAGAGCCCACGGGATCGGGGACAGAGTTCACAAAGGGGAGCGGGGAGGCAGATTCCTGGGTTTGGGTGTGAGATTCAGAAACCAGTATTTGCCTCCATGTGCGGGGCCTGTGCTGGCAGCTGGGGATGGGACCATGAGCAGAACCACCCACCGGCCCTGCCTGGGTGGGGGCCATTCTGTACGGGCTCCGAGATCACTGTGTCTGAACGCAGCCTGCGGGAGGGGCGGGAGCGGGGCGAGGCCGGTGGGTAACGGGGCAGCAGGTACCTGCAGAGGCTGGAGGCCCGGGCGGGGCCTGGTGTGGTGGAGGAATCGGGGAGGCCGGTGGCCGCACAGAGGAGGGTCAGAGACCTGACTGGGTCCGTCAGTTTGCTTCCGTTTGGGGGAAAGACGGGAGCTGGGCCCTGTTGAGAGGGTCGAGCTGGGAGAGTGGTGGGTGGTGGGTGGTGCTGAGACGGCGGGACAGGCTGGGAGGACGGGGAGAGGGCTGAGCGGGTTCACATGTGATGGGGCTGCTTAAAGCGCAGGCGCCGACCGTGTTCCTGGCGAGTTCCTGGCCAGGCTGGTGCCACGGGGCCTGGCCACACGGGGCGAACGGGTGTAGATACAGCAAAGGGCCGAGGGGTGTGGGCGGGCAGCCTGGCCAGCACCCACGGGAAACCGAGGCAGTGAGCCGTGGGAAGGAGTGACTGTGAGGGAGTGAAGGGTCCAACCCAGTTCTGGGGTGGGGACGGCTACGGGGCAGGGCACACGACCCTCACCCCTTCCTCACCCTCCCTGGCCCGCAGGGGGCAGCACTCCCCCCCCACCTGCCTGTCTCCAACCTACCCCGCAGTCCCCTGCAGACACTGGCCCCCAGTCTGTGGCCCCAGCCAGCCACCAGCGTGAGGGACAGGACGTGGGGCTGGGTGGGGCTGGGTTCCTGCCCATGATCCTGAGGGGCCGGGCGCCGGGTCCCCCACCCTGGACGCTCTTCGGGACTCCAGGGTGGGGAGGAGGCTGCCAAAGGGCCCTTTCCCAGGACGCGGCCTGAGGCTGTCACCGGAGGGGGCTGTTCTGTCCGCTGGGGCCGGGCCGGAGCGGGCGGCCTGGCCGGAGGAGGTGGCTGCGGGGGCGGAGGTGCTGGTGTGGACGGGCCGCCCCCTTGGGCTGGCTGAGGGCGGCCCCCTCACTCCCCCTGTCCTCCCCAGGCTGGTGGGCCCGGCTGCGGTGCCCCCTGGTGATGCGGGGCGAGGACCCCCGCACCGGCCACTGAGAGCCCGGACACGCCGGCCGCCGCCATGGCCCGCCTGGCCGCCGCGCTGTGGAGCCTCTGCGTCACCGCCGTGCTGGTCACCTCCGCCACCCAAGGTAGGTGCGCCGGGCCCCCCGCCGGCGGGGCGGGGGCGGGACGGAGAAATGCCGCTGAAGGACTTTCCAACACCCCCTACCCCCCCCCCTACACACACACACACAGGTGCCACACACACACACACACACACACACACAGGTGCCACACACACACACACACACACACACACAGGTGCCACACACACACACACACACACACACACACACACACAGATACACACACATGTGCCATACACATACACACACACAGGTGCCACACACACACACACACACACAGACACACACACATGTGCCATACACATACACACACACAGGTGCCACACACACACACACACACAGACACACACACATGTGCCATACACATACACACACACAGGTGCCACACACACACACACACACACAGATACACACACATGTGCCATACACATACACACACACACACACAGGTGCCACACACACACACACACACACACACACACCGCTCAGGGGAACCAGGCCAGGGCACGGAGGGTCCCAGGGCCTGGAGTGCAGCCGGTGGCATGGCACCGATGCAGCCTTCCTGGTGACTGGAGGCTCCTGTGTGTGTGTATGTGTGGCACCTGTGTGTGTGCATGTATGTATGTGTGTGGCACCTGTGTGTGTGTATGTATGTGTGTGTGTCTGTGTGTGTGTGTGTCCGTATGTGTGTGGCACCTGTGTGTGTGTGTGTGTGTGTGTGTGTGTAGTGTGTGGCACCTGTGTCTGTGCGTGTCTGTGTGTGTCTGTGTGTATGTCTGTATGTGTGTGGCACCTGTGTGTGTGTGTGTCTGTCTGTATGTGTGTGTGTCTGTGTGTGTGTGTGTAGTGCGTGGCTCCTGTGTGTGTGTGTGTGTCTCTGTATGTGTGTGGCACCTGTGTGTGTGTGTGTCTGTGTGTGTGTCTGTGTGTGTGTGTGTGTGGCACCTGTGATCACATCCTCCCGGCTCTCGCAGGGAGAGACTTAATTAAAGCATGCCCATTGCCGTTTATTTAAAAACAACTAATTGCTCAGCCCAGCCCTGTGCGTGCCTCAGTTAGTGCCCCCGCTGCCCGCCCACCTCGCCAGTCACTCAGTGCTGGTCCCCGTGGCGGGCAAGGGAGAGCGAGGAGGGAGGCGGGGAGCAGGCGCCTGCTGGCCTTGTCCCTGCCCTGGTCTGGGGCCGGCCCCCGCCCTCCCTCCCAGCCCCGTCCGGAGGGCCGGGCAGTGGGCCCCGCCTTCAGAGCCACACGGGGCCTTGGCGTGGCTCCGGCCAGCTGGAACCTTCTGCTTCCCCGGTGCCCGAGTGCTCTGCCCGTCTGGGTCCTGCCCCGTGGTCCCAGCTGGTCCAGGAGGGGCTGCGTCCGCCCCCTGGGCCCCTCTGAGCCAGCCCTCCGCCCGGCCGGCCTCCCGGGCCCAAGACGGGGCTGGAATCAGCCGTGGGAGCAGATGGCGCTAGAGTCACACACACTAACTTTCCCCGGGGCCTGGCTGCCCCCTCCACGGCCCCCCCAGCAGTGGCGGGACCCGGTCTGAGGAAAGAGGCAGGCTCGGCTCTTCACCTGCCGATGACGGTTGTCCCCACACTGCAGCCTCTGTGCACCCCCACGTCCCCCTGGCACAGCAGGCGGGCTGGGACCAGGGTCCGGGGAGGTGGCGGCCTCGGCAGGTGTGGGCCCTGCAGAGATGGGCCGCGCCCTGTCGCCTCACTGTGTGCCACTGCGTCTGCCGCCTGGTCCTGTGAGCGGGGGGGCGGTCACAGAGGGGGCCAGTGACCGGACGGGGCCACCAGCCAGGGAGCGGCTGAGCTGGGATTTAACCCCCCCATCAGCCCAAGCTCCCAGGCCCCACACGGCACGTGGTAGGGACGGACGTGGGACGATGCTGGGCCTGCCCTTCCGTTTTCACACGACGGGAGGGGGCGTTCCCCAGGTGATAAAGAGGGGGACCCTTCGCCGGTGACAGCACCATGCTGGGCCCTTCCTTCACCAACACTCCTGGCACAGAGTCCTCACAGCGCAGCCCTGGGCTGTGGTGCCCATTTCACAGATTGGGACACCGAGGCCTGGGGAGGCTCCCGGCTTCCCCCCCCCAGATCCTGATTCGGCAGGCCTGGCCTGGGGGGAGGAGGGTGGCCCTGTGACTCTGGTGCTGCCGATCCCTGGGCTGCACCATGACGAGACCTGGGCCAGGGGACCTGGCCTGCCACCTGGGAAGTGACGAAGGCAGACGCGATGGTTTCTTCCAGAACATGAGCTCATGCCCCACCCCCAGGCCTCTCCTCCTGGTGGGGGGTGGGGGGGATTCAGGGCATCACCCAAGGTCACCCTCCCTGTGGACATTATCAGGGATTTTTTTTGGAAAAATCGGGACTTTTTTTTAAAACGCCGGGGGACAGATTGTTAGAAGTCGGGGCTGTCCCGCCAAAAGCAGGACGCCTGGTCACCGCACACTAACTGCACTCAGGGGCCCTCGCACCAGCGGCCGCCCGCCGGCGGTGGGCAGTGAGGTCCGGAAGGTTGGGGACGGCTGCCGTAGCCCGCCCTCCGGTTTGCCGGTTTGCCTGGAGAGCTCGCAGTGCCGTTACCCTGGCAGTCACAGTTTGTACGGCGGGTTGGGGCAGAGTAAGGTCATCCCAGAGGAGGGGCCTGGGGCGGCCGCGTCCGGGCACGTCTCACACACACAGCGTGCCCCTCCCGGAGCCGTGGGCTGTGTTAGCTCTCCTGGCCGTGCCGGGCGACAGCTCGCATGTGCACTGCCACCTGGAAGTCCCCCTGCGCCTTGGTGTTCACCGTCTGTCCTGGGGCTCTGACCACCCACCTGCCTGGCCTTGACCTCCAATCCCTCCACAGGCCAACGGATACTTCCTGACCCAAAGCTCCCACCCAAAACCACATGGTTAGCGGAGAGGTTGTTAGTGCTGCCGTAACAAAGTACCACAGACGGGGGTGGCACTTAAGCAACGGAAATGTATTTCCTCACAGTACCAGGAGCTGGAAGTCCAAAATCAAGGCGTTGGCAGGGTTAGTTCCTTCTCGGGGCTGCAAGGGAAGGATTTGTTCCAGGCCCCTGCCCTTGGCTTATAGGTGGCCATCTCCTCCTTCTGTCCCCACATGGTCTTCCCTCTGGTGTGTCTGTGTCCAAATTCCCTCTATTTATATCGGACGAAATTCGTGCACAGGTAGGGTCCCTAGGCCTGGTCTTGCCACCAGGGCTGATCAAGGCCTCCCTTTGCTCTGGCGCCGCCCCCTGGTGGTCAGCGCTCGTCATAGCGAGCAATCAAATTCCCCAGGGGACACTTTGCGTGGTCAGCTTTTACATATATAGATTAGTGCCCATCTTAATTGCCTCCTTTTAGCTTGACTATCTCTGTAATGACCCTGTCTCCAAATTCCTTTACATTCTGAGGTCCAATGGGTTAGGACGTCAGCATAGGAATTTGGGGGAGGGGGCACAATTCGACCTCTTAACTGCACAGACTATCTGGCATGGCCCAAGGCCCCCAGGTAAGCAGACACCCTTACCACGCTGAACACCCCAAAGGCGTGGAGGGTCCTCCCAGGCCCTGAGGCAAAGGCCAAGTTATTTTTGAGCCCGTTTTACAGACACATAAAGCTCTGCCTGTGTCCCAGGCACCGCTGAGCTGGAGCTGGCGCCTCCTCTGCAGGATCTTCACCCCCTTCCCTGCACCCTGAGCGTGACGCGCTCTCTCTCCCCCCCCCCCCCCCCCCCCGCAGGCCTGAGCCGGGCTGGACTCCCGTTCGGGCTGATGCGCCGGGAGCTGGCGTGCGAAGGCTACCCCATCGAGCTGCGGTGCCCGGGCAGTGACGTCATCATGGTGGAAAACGCCAATTACGGGCGCACGGACGACAAGATCTGCGACGCTGACCCTTTCCAGATGGAGAACGTGCAGTGCTACCTGCCGGACGCCTTCAAGATCATGTCGCAGAGGTGAGGGGCCCCCGGGGCTCCCGGGCAGTCCCTGAGTCCGGTACCTGCCCTCCCTGCACCCCCTGGACCTCCCTGCACCCTGTTCACCCTCCGCCTGCCTTCTGTGATTTTCACACACCTTCCAGGTGCCCGTCCCCCTCAGCTTACCCCCCTCGCCCCCGCCAGTCTGTACCCCTTCCCACACACATGCACTCACCAGCCCGATGCCTCCAGAAGCTCATGCCAATCTTAGCGGGAGGCAGTGAGGGCTTGCAGTGTAAACGCAATGGCAGGACAGGGTGAAGGGGTCCTGGGAGCTGAGGCAGGACCCAGAGTCTGGCCAGGCTTCCCTGAGGAGGTGACATCTGAATACAGATGACAAGTGCGTGTGAGAGAGAGAATGTGAGTGCCTGTGTGGGGGTGGGGGGGGGGGAGAGGGGTGCCAGGAGGAGCACTGAGTGTTCAAAGCTGCAGAAACCTCTCTCACAGCCACAGCTGCTCAGGGCTCTCTTCAAATTACACTGATTGGACCACCGCTTCCACCAAGTCCGTGCCCCGCCCCTTACCTGCTCCCTCCTGCCTGAGCAGCCGGTTCCCTCCACAGCCGCCAGAGGGCGCATGTGAGCACCTGAATCTGGAAACATCCCTGTTCTCATCCCACCTGGCTCTCAGCTCACAAAAGCCCAAGCCTTCCCTCCGCCTGCAGGGCCCTGCACGCTCTGCCCTTTCCTCTCCAGCCCTCGCCTGCCTCCTCCAGCTCCCCCTCCCACCCACCTGCTCCTCACACACATCAGGCATCTTCGCCTGGGGGCCTCCCGTGGGCCTTTTCATTGGCTGTTCCCCAGCAGCCACTGGGCTCCTCCTCCCTCGTCCCAGCCACTCAGGGAATTTCCACCTAACTGTCCTCCCCAGGGCTGCCCGGCCGCCCTCTGAAACCACAGCCCCCCCTTCCTCGCCCCTTCTCTGCTTCCTGACTTCCACCCACAGTTCCATCAGATAGTTTGCCTCTATGTGGTTTATGTCTTCCCTCCCGCGCTGTCAACCCCACGGGGACCAGACGCTGTCACTGCTGTGTCCGCAGCAGCAGGCACTCGCTGCATTTTTGCCGAATACCGGTGAGAATGCAGGAACTGGGAAAGGGCAGGGGGGCTAGGGCCAGCAGCTCCTTGGAGTTCTAGAGTAAAATAAAATCGGGGGCCCTGAGAGTTTGGGGCACAGGACAGGTGTGGGCAGGTGGCCCAGCCTGGTTGGCCAGGCTGAGCTGCCTCATCCCCGCCCTCCCACCTTTTCTGACTCCAGTATCCATCCCCTTCCAGTAATCTTGCTCCCTTTCCCCTCCCAGGCCTTGCTTGGGCAGTGTCCCCTTCTCTTTGGAACTCTTTTCCCTCCCTCCTGCCTCTCCAGGTTCTCCCTCAGGGTTCATTCATCGCCGGCAGCACCCAGCACTCGACTGGCCCAGTTCTGATGGGTTGTCAGGTCCAGAGGGGGGAATGCTGAGCAGGCTGGCCACTGTCTTAGAACCTAGAGATGCTTTTTTAAATCGTTCATTTTATTTTAATCCTCTCCCGAGGATATCTTTCCATTGGTTTTTAGAGAGAGAGGCAAAGACAGAAATATCAATGTGAGAGAAACATCCATTGGTTGCCTCCTGCACACGTCCCGACCTGGGCTCAGGCTGGGGAGGATCCTGCAACCTAGGTGCATGCCCTTGACCGAAACCCAGCCTGGGACCCTTCAGTCCGCAGGCTGATGCTCTGTCCACGGAGCCAAACCGGTGGGGGCCACCTGGAGGTGCTTTGTATCAGTGAGGGTACAGCTCCCTGCTCTGACGGAGACACCCCAGAATAAATACTCCACAGTGAGGAGCTGAGGAGACGTCAGCAGCCGCTTCCCTGTGTGGTGCCTTCCGCACCCATCACACCCCCCTCCCCTGGAAGGCTTTCCCTCTTCTCTATCTGGCAGTGAAAGTCACGTAACAAAGTCACGATTGAAGTGGAGTATTTAGTTTGTTTACAAGTTGTGCAACCACCATCCCTGCCCAGCTCCCCCGGGAGGACACCCTGTGCCCTGGAGCAGCCACTCTCGGTGCCCCTCCTCCTGGCAGCTGGTCTCCTGTCAGTGGACTTGCCAATTCCGCACGTTTTGTGCAAGTGGAGTCGTGAGACGTGGCCTTTGTGTCCGGCGCCTCCGCACGGCATGCTTCCGAAGTTCGTCCACGGGGTGGCCTTTCTGAGGCTGAGGACTGCTTTGTGAGGATGGCCACATTGTTCGTCCCTTCGGGTGTGATATTTGGGTTGCTCTCACCCTTTGGCACTTGTGCGAGTGACCGGCCGTGAATATTCACGAACAGCTGGTGGTTTAGGCACTTGCTTTCGGTTCTTTGGGAATATAATGAGGGATGGAGTTTCTGGGCCATAGGCAACTCTCCTTAACCTTCTGAGGCCACTGTGCTGTTTTTATTGTTGAAAGTGTTTCAGATGACCCCCTTTTTTCCATTGATCCTCTGCTCCGAACCCCTTCCCCCAGGCCTTCAGTACACTATTGTCTAAAAATATGGCACGAGCCAAAACTGGTTTGACTCAGTAAATAGAGCGTCAGCCTGTGGACTGAAAGGTCCTGGGATCGATTCCGGTCAAGGGCATGTACCTTAGTAGCGGGCACATCCCCAGTGTGGGGGGCGGGGAGTGCAAGAGGCAGCTAATGGATGATTCTCTCTCATCAATGTTGCTAACTCTCTATTCCTCTCTCTTCCTCTCTGTAAAAAAATCAATAAAATATATATTTTTTAAATTAAAAAAATAAACAAAAATATGGAACGCTTCATGAATTTGCATGTCAGCCTTGCACAGGGCCACGCTAATCTCTGAATCGTTCCAATTTTAGTATCTGTGCTGCCAAAGCGAGCACCAGTGTTCTGTTTTTGTTTTGTTTTTAGAGTATTTTTATTGATTTCAGAGGGGAAGGGAGAGGGAGGGAGAAAGATAGAAACAGCATCCGTGAGAATTGCAACCCAGGCATGTGCTCTCAATCAGAATAGGATCCAGGACCTCTCCGTCAGGGCACCAGTGTTCTGATTTTTTAAAATAAATTTTTATTGATTTCAGAGAGGAAGGGAGAGGGGGAGAGAGAGATAGAGACAGAAACTTCAATGATGAGAGAGAATGATTGATTGGCTGCCTCCTGCACGCCCCACATTAGGGACCGAGCCTTGACCTGGAATAGAACTGTGACCTCCTAGTTCATAGGTCGATGCTCAACCACTGAGCATGCTGGCCAGGCCAATGTTCTGGCTTTTGTTTTTTTGTGTTTTTTTTTTCTTTATCCCCCACCCTCACCCTTTGCCACTCAAGGCCCAGTACTGCTGCGTGCCCGGCCCCAGTGTCCTGTTTTTAAAGGAGCGTTTTGAGGGGGGTGGATATGAGCAGAACCTCATTAGTTAAGGGCAGGGCTGAAGAGAGAAGAACACAGGCGCCCCCTGCCCTGTATCTGTCAGGGACTCCCCCAAAACGGCTTCCTGCATACCCAGGATCGGGTCCATCTCCCGCTGGCTGAGACCTGGGCTGCTCCAGGAAACAGAGACCCTGACTGAGAGGACAGACAGCAGAGGAGAAACAGCTTTTATTATTATTGTTAAAATATATTTTTATTTCAGAGAGGAAGGTGAGAGGAAGAGAGAAGCATCAATGATGAGAGAGAATTCATGGAACACTTCCATGAACAAAGGCGGGGCTTTACAGTCAATTGAGGGAAAATGCCAAGGATGTGCCAGCGCCAGTGCTGGGCGGCGGCCATGAAGGGCTGGGCAGGCAGTTCCGGGGCCCCGCTCTGACCCAGCCCTGAGCTTCTTGCCAGCTGGGCGGAGAGTGGGAGAGAGCAGGGCAGGAACCAGAAGACAATATCCACGGAAGGCCCAGCTTGAGTCTCCATGGTTCCTTCCAAATTTGGGGGTACCCATTCCTCCCTCACCCCGGGGCCAGCGCCAGGCCTGTCTCCCATCTCCGTCTCCTCCGCAGGTGTAACAACCGCACCCAATGCGTGGTGGTTGCCGGCTCCGACGCCTTTCCTGACCCCTGTCCTGGGACCTACAAGTACCTGGAGGTGCAGTACGACTGTGTCCCCTACAGTGAGTCCTCTTGTTCCTCATCGAACCCGGGCCCTTCCCTGCCCAGAGTGAGCGAGGAGGAGACACCTTGACCTGCACGCACACGCAATGCACGTGCACACGCACATGCACACGCACACGCATGCCCGTACATGGATGGGGGGCCAAGTTGGGGCCAAGTGCGTGGGGGACAGTTGGGCCTGTTCCCTTGCCCCACATTCCCTTTTTCTAGTCACCCTTGTCCAAACCCTATCTCCTCCCAACCCCCCCTTCCCCAGCCACCACCAAAGACTCTGTCCTTACCGCGGGCACCTTCCCCAGCCCTTGGCCCCCTGGCCCCCCTGCCTGCTTCTCTGTGTGCCCGGCTTCCTTACACATTCCCAGCCACACCCCACTCTGCTGGCACGCTTACATCTCTCCCTCAGCCCCACTGCCCTGGAATCCCTCTGCCTCTTCTCTCATCCCTTCCCTTCCTGGCACCGCCCCCCTCCATCCCCCTCCAGCCACACACACACCTGTCCTTCCCTCTCACTCACACTTCTCTCTGAACTCCCTCTCCTTCCTCTTGTCCTCTTCACCCCTCACCAGCCCTTCCGGCCCTTGCCCAGTCCTGGAAGCTGGACTTGATGTCCGCAGAGAGGCAGATCACCGCTGAGGCCTCGTGGGGGATGCGTGTGAAGGGCTGGGGGCGTCTTGTCTTCACAGAGTCCCACCTCCTGCTCAGTGTGCCCGTCACCATAACAGCACTTCCTGTTTGCCGGGGAAGTGCCGCAATGGTGGATGGAGGGAGGCTCCCGGTGGACCTCGGGAGCCAGAGGCCTGGCTTTCTTACACCTGGTGAAGGGGAGCCGACAAAGACAGGGTCTCTCCTCCTCAGCACCCTCTTATCATCATCCTCCTCCTCACTCTCCCTCCGCCTCCCTCTCCTTCCCCAACCCCAGCTTCAGAGCCAGGAGGTAGGCTCCAGGCGGGGGGGGGGGGGGGGGGGGGCGCGGAGCAGGGCCACCAGAGTGTGTGCGTGTGGGGGGAAGGGGCGTGTGGGGGGCAGAGGTGGGGAACAGGGGCCCTATGTCTCCCCCTCCTCTCCCCTCCCACTCCAGCCTTCTCCCCCTCCACTCAGCCTCCTCCCCGAACCTCTGGTTTCTCCTCGCAGGTGATGCTCTACACTGGCAAACAGGATCGCTGTGTGTTTCCATCACTTTCTGCTTTTACTCCTCATCCTTTCCTTTCAGCGACCAGGCCTCCGCCACCGCCCGAGGGGGACGCCCGCCTGATCCTCGGAGCCTTCCCACAGCACTGGGGACTCTGCCCACCCCGGGCTGGGAGCAGGGCAGGAGGGCTGGAGGCGGGGAGCTTAGCACACAGGAAGGCAGGCTGGTGCGAAGCTCCGCCAGGCTCTTGACTTTTTCTGGCTCTGAAACTTGAGCAGGTGACCTCACTCCCTGGGCCGCCGAAAGGGGAGGTGAGAGTCCAGGAGCTCGTGTGTGTGAAGCAGCCGGCCCACAGGCAGAGGTGAATGCTCACCCCGCCGCGCCCAGACCCAGCCTGGCTCAGGATGTGCTCAGCAGCGGCCCGAGTCCCTTTCCAGCTGGGGGTTGGGGAAGGAGAGGGAGGCAGACGAAGAGTGAGGAGGAGGAGGATGTTAAGGTGGGTGCTGAGGAGGAGAGACCCTGTAGACTCATCTGGGACGGGGAAGGGACCAAACACCTTCCCTGGGACACTGCCGGGAAGCGAGCCCATGTCCCTTGAGTCACAGAGTGAAGGAAGTGGTACCCGTTTTTGCCAGTGTGGGGCCTCAGCCTTGTTGCTTCACCTCACTGAGCCTCAGTTTCCCCCTCTGTAGACAGGGTTCTCTAAAGACTGCCCAGGAAGTGCCTAGCACGGCCCCTGGCACCAAGTGGTAGTCATATTTCCGCTGTCATTGCTGTTGGTAATCAAAACACCACCAACAACTGACAATGAACTCAGACAGTTCCTGCTGAGGCGGATGGGATAAAGTGTGAGAAAATCCCTCGGTCCAAGTGGTATCCAAAGTGGATGCCACACAGTTGAAGAAGCAGGAGGGAAGGATAGAGGGCCTTAGGAGGAAAGGGGTGGGGAGGCCTCCTGGAGCCGCCCCCCAGGTGGACAGGAGCATGACCCACAAAGGCCAGGAGGCAGGCAGGTCAGCCAGGGGCTGGGCGGCCCCCAATCTGATGCAGAGAGTTAGCCTGAACTCTGGGGGAGATTGCGCACACACAGGCACATGCACACGCATACACGCACACGGTTGGTTGTGCGTGGGGGGGGGGGGCATGTGTGTCCTAGACATGCAGACGTGTTAGCTCCTGGTCCCAGGGGAAGGGGCTGGGCTAACAGGAGGATGGAAGCCAGACCAAGAACAGGGAGGCCAGACACTCGTCTCCCGAACGTTGCTGAGCACCTCCTGAGTTCCAGGCCCGGTTGAGGCGTTGGGGATGTAGCCAGCCTCCCCCGTGGAGCTCCCTGCTTCTGCCTCAGAGATCCAGGCCCTGGCAGAGGTTCTTGAGGGGCCAGGGCAGAGCCTGAGGCTTCCGAGGCTGGGTGACCCCCTGCTGGTGCTGGCCAGGGTGGGGGGAGTGTGGGGGCTACGTGGGGCAGTGGGTGTGTGGGGTCCCCGCCACACACACATTGGACAGGCCCGACTAACACTGGATTTGCCTTGCAGCTGTGCACAGTCTAACCCTTCCCCTTCCTCCCCCAGGTACCGCCGGCCCACAGGCAGCGGGTGGCGAGGAGCTCCGGGCTCTGGGGCCCCCAGGGGGGTTGCTGGGCAGAGAAACAGAGTCTCGGGGGAGCGTGTCTGTGCCACCTGCTGTCCTGCCCTGTGTGATGTCTCCCCACCCCAGCCCCTTCCCTCTACCTGTCTCCCCACCTCTCTGAGGCCCAAGGGGCTCTGCTTGTCTGCCTCTCTGTCATTCTGTGTCCAGCTCTGTCACCCTCTCTCTGTGTTGGCTCTTTCTGGGTGGTGAGGGTTGGGGGACCCAGCTGCTCCCAGGTGGGGCCAGCACAGACTGGAGGGAGTTCAGCCTGTTCTCTCGGATCCGGGCACCCAGGCCCTGGGAGGAACTGTGCTTCCTTCCCTGGGCCCCTGGTTCTGGCAGGAGGGCAGCTGACAGGGCGAGAGGGGACCAGGTGTCCCCCCACTCCCTCCCGATGCCCCCCTAACCAGAGCCCGCCTCCCAGCTGGGACTCCGCCTCCCATGAGGGTGCCACTCACACCTGAAGGCATGGTCCTCCTGCCTGCCTCGCCCCCTCCCCCCATGTCTCTCTTGGTCTCTGTCCTGCGTGTTTCCCCTCCCTGTGACTGTCTCCCTCACAGCCTCTTGCCCCAACCCTACCCCAGAGGAAGGGACCTGGGGGGTGGGGGCTGAGCTGATGCAACATTTGGGGTTGGGGAACCAGGAGTAAGGAAAGAAAGGAAAAGGGGACATGTTGCCAAAAAAGAAACAAAAGCAATTTAATCTCTTTTTTTTTCTCTTTTTTCTTGCACATTTTTTTTTCAATTTGTTTTCTCTCTCTCTTCCGATGCTTAAAGTAGAAGTGGAGCAGAAAGGTAAACGCACTGTTACCAATGCTAACCCCTAACTCACACTTTGTTTTACTTGTACCGTCCTATGTGACCGCCCTCCCTCTCGGCCCTTCTTCTCCCACCCCCACTGGGTCCAGTTGGTAGCTCCCACCCCAGGTGTCCTCCCAGTGGGCGAGCCCTTGGTCCAGCCACGGGTGACTCCGCCCTCCAGACACCGAGGAAGCTCCTCTGAGTACATGGACAGGACCTTCCTCCTATCTCTCTCTCTCTCCCTCTTCTCTCCCTCTCTCTCTCTCTCTCACAGGACCTTCCTCCTCTCTTCTCTCTCTCTTTCTCTCTCTGTCTCTGTCTCTCTCTCCCCCCTTCCTCTCCCTTTCTCTCCCTGTCCCACCTCTCACACCTCTCTCTCTCTCCCTCTCCCTCTCTCTCTCCCCTCTCACTCCCCCCACCCTCCACCCCCCCTCCTGTCTCTCTGTCTCTCTCTGTCTCTTTCTGTCTCTCTCTCTCTCTCTCTCTCTCTCTCTCTCTCTCTGTCCCTCCTTCCTAGTTCCTGGCCCTTGCTAGGGGACCTGGCCTTCTCTCATACTTCTTTTGCTCCTTCAGGAGAAGTTTGTAAGCATCCTGGGTGGGTGGAACTCCCTTTCCTGGTTCCAGATGGGGGTGGGATAGGGGGGCACTGGGTGAACCATCTCTTTTCTTCTTCCTGCCCCAACTTTGGTAACTTGGGCCCCTTTGGGGGAGGCGGGATGGAGGGACAGGGACACTTTTGTTTTCCTTTTGGAGAGCAGATTCAGCCTATCCCTCAGGCTCCTGGTGGCTTAAGTTCCTTCTGGTTTGGTGTTTCCAAGGCCCAGAGCTGTTTTGGAGCACAGAGCACAAGTCTCCCCCAGCCCTGTCCCCCAACCTCCACCAGTTGGGGGCCCACCCCTGGGAAGGGGTGTGAACTGTCCTCAGCCCTGGGAGGGCAGCCTGTCAAATGGGGGGACCAAGGGGTGGGGGCGGGCCTTGCGGTGGGGGGATCGAGGGATGGGGGAGCATTTTTCTCTGGTTCTGAAACACTTGCGAAGCTGCAGTCAGGGTTTCTTCTGGGCTGCTGTGGTTAGAGGACCAGGGAGAGGGGGCGGGGACAGGACAGGAAATCTGGGACTTCCAGGAGCACCGTAATTTCTTGCAGGGGTTTAGCCTCAGCTGGGGAGCAGAAGTCTGTGGTGGAGAGGGCTGTCTGGCAGGAGTTGGGAGATGGTTGCTTTTATCCCCTGAAAGTTTTGGGAAGTTGGCAGCTCTGAGACTGGCAACAGGGGAAGGGCTGGGTGAGACACCCTGTCCTACAGCTTTTGTCTGAAATTACGGTGGTCTGTGGAGCATCCCATTCAAGGGGGTGGAGTGGGTCCCTCCAAGCTGCTCCCCTCCCCACTGTCTCCCTCCCCCATCTCAGAGGCCTGGGCAGCCAGCCCGTGGTCTGCCCCCAGACACTCCGAGTCTCTCTCTCCTGGAGCCTCTCCCACCCAGCACCAGACACTCTTATTGCAGGTCCGGTGGTGGTTTGGATATGCAGCCCTGGATCTTTTCTCTTCAAGAGGCGGGGAGGGAAAAGGAGGTGTTGGGAGCTTGGTGCTAGGGAGGGGTCCTTCTGGCAAAGGCCCCAGACCCTTTCTCATTTTCTCCCCTTCCCCAGGGTAACCTCTAACCACATTTTCCTCCTCCACACCCTTCTGACCAGGTCATGTCTGAGACCTCCCACCGCCCCTCACACACACAGCTGGCGGGGCCCCTGGCTTGGGGAGAGGGGAGACCTCGGTACAGAGGAAACCGGAGGAGGGACAGGCCGACACCTCAGGGCCCCAGGAACAGGGAGGTGATGAGGCCCCGGGGCCCAAGCCAGGGTCCTTCTGGTGCCTCCCACCCCTGTGCCCAGGGCTCCCTCCTCCTAGAACAGGGCGTGCTCCCGGCTGCTTTTGTGCCTGGGGACCCCTGGGCGGCCTCCCAAGCCAGGATCAGGGCCCAGCCCTTCCCGTCTCCCTTGGGGCCATCTGCTTTGGTGACAGCCAAGCAGAAGCAGAGAATTCACTGCAAGCCCTCACCCTGGCCGGTCTGTGGGTTCTGCTAGCAGGGAGCTGAGAGGGAGGCCCCAGCCATCCTGCATGGAGGGGCCTCTGACTGCATCACTCTGGGAGGAGGAGGGGAGTCCAGATCGCCACTGGGTCAGCAGGGGAGCCTAGGAGTAGGCAGCCCTGGGACACGATGGGGTAAGGGTGGGCAGGCCAGTGGGGGCCAACGAGATGCAGTTGAGGTTTTCCTCCTTTTCAGGGAATGGGGGGGTGGGGCGGGGGCCCCCCACCTTTCTGACATCAACGCTGCCTTGGTCCCTCCTCCCGAGCCGGGGATGGTTGCAGGTAAATCCGGGTCCGGGGCAGGGCGGTGGGGGGCCTGGCTGGGGCGGGCTGGGTCTTTATCCTAGCACTTGGTTCCCTCCCTTGCCCACTCTGAACTGGACCTGGGAGTGCCCCCCCTGAGGGACCCTCCGTCGGGCCTGGGCCTTGGAGTGAATTCTCTGCTCACCCCCTCTCTCCTCTGCCAGCACTAACCTTTCTTCCCAGGTGGTCTCCAGCGTGCCTCCCTTGGAGCCAGGACCTCTGCTGAGGGCCCCGCCTTGTCTCTCTTCCCTCTACACAGCTTTCCTTCCCCCTCCCCAGCTCTCCTGGGGAGTCCCCTCCTCCCCATGCCCCACCCCCATCCCTGTGCACCAGTGTCAGTGTCTGCTGCTGAACAAACCCCAGGAGAGACCCTGCCGGCTGAGGCAGGGCTGGGCACCACGGGGAGAGGCTGGAGTTTTCCAAAGCCCTTCCTGATTGGGGGGGGGGGGGGGGTGGCGCGCACACAGGCTGCACCAGGAGCCTTAAATGGAGAGATGCTCCTGGCTCCTGACACCACAGTGGGTGCAGAAACATCACTGCCTTGCAGTTTTTGCAGGAGGAAGCAAGGGGAGTAAAAAAAGATGTGTCCTGTGTGGTGGTGAAGGATGGGACCCTCCACTCCAGCTCTTCCGTGGGGGGTGGAGACTGGTCAGAGGCAGGGCACTGAGTCCCTGAACTTCAAAGCTGCCGGCAGCAGCTGCAGTGAGGTCTTTCCGCCATGCTTAAGGCACGCAACAAAGTCTCTGGGAGGGCTCTTGCCAAACCCCTTATCCTCAGCCTGTGGGGTCTCTAGCAGCCAGAACAGGAAAGGGGTGCCACACCTTCTCCCACTAACCCTGCTCTTAATGGCCTCCAGGGTTGACATCTCCAGGGAGAGGGGCAGCTGGGCGGGCAGGGATCCCAGCCCGGAAACCCCCTTCCCATCACCAGCCCTACCAAGCAACCGTGACTGCAGCAGCAGGAGGGGACAGTCTGGCTTCCCCGTGGCCTTGTGACCAACTGCCTCTCTCTCCCCTTTCTCCTCCCCCCTCTCCTCCCCGCGCCTCCTCTCCTGTTTCCTCTCCTCCCGCCCGCCCTGCCCAGTCTTCGTGTGCCCAGGGACCCTGCAGAAGGTGCTGGAGCCCACCTCCACGCACGAGTCGGAGCACCAGTCTGGCGCGTGGTGCAAGGACCCGCTGCAGGCGGGAGACCGCATCTACGTCATGCCCTGGATCCCCTACCGCACGGACACGCTGACCGAGTACGCCTCGTGGGAGGACTACGTGGCGGCGCGCCACACCACCACCTACCGCCTGCCCAACCGCGTGGACGGCACCGGCTTCGTGGTCTACGACGGCGCCGTCTTCTACAACAAGGAGCGCACGCGCAACATCGTCAAGTACGACCTGCGCACGCGCATCAAGAGCGGGGAGACCGTCATCAACACGGCCAACTACCACGACACCTCGCCCTACCGCTGGGGGGGCAAGACGGACATCGACCTGGCCGTGGACGAGAACGGGCTGTGGGTCATCTATGCCACCGAGGGCAACAACGGGCGGCTGGTGGTGAGCCAGCTCAACCCCTACACGCTGCGCTTCGAGGGCACCTGGGAGACGGGGTACGACAAGCGCTCGGCGTCCAACGCCTTCATGGTGTGCGGCGTCCTCTACGTGCTGCGCTCCGTCTACGTGGACGACGACAGCGAGGCGGCCGGCAACCGCGTGGACTACGCCTTCAACACCAACGCCAACCGCGAGGAGCCCGTCAGCCTGGCCTTCCCCAACCCCTACCAGTTCGTCTCCTCCGTGGACTACAACCCCCGCGACAACCAGCTCTACGTCTGGAACAACTACTTCGTGGTGCGCTACAGCCTGGAGTTTGGGCCTCCAGACCCCAGTGCCGGTGAGGACGGCCCCTGTTCCCCGCCCCAGGCCCAGGGTGGGGGCACACTTGGGAGTTCTTAGGGACCTGGAGGTGGGTTGGGGGAGACCTTGAGTGGGAGAGAGTCCACAGCACATATGTATGTTCTAAGCACTTAATTTGTCTAGCCCTGATGGTCACAGGGATTGTTACTGCCCCCAGTTTACAGATGAGGAAACTAAGGCTGGGGATTAGTTTATGTATTTTGAGCATTTGGACTGTGCACCTAACCCCCGAGGGCACTGCCTCCCCCTGTGGCCTGTGCACTTTTAGCCATGGAACCTTTATCAACCAAAATCTTGAGCGGAATCCCAAATATCGGGTGAAACAGAACAAGGCTGAGCTGCTGACGTTGATGGGTGGGGCCTCTCCGGAGTCTCGTTTGCCTCCTCAGCCCCCTGAGCCGTCTCTGAGCAGCCCCATCTCTGAGGGGTCCAGGGAGCCTAATCTAACCCAGCTTCCTTTGCATAATGGGAAACTGAGGGCCTCCCACTGAGGGAAGGGGCCTGGCCCGGTTACAGAGCAGAGTGAGGTGGCATGTTCCTTACCGCCTCTCCATTGTTCTTTCAGACCTCAGGGTGCACAGGAGTGAATTCCTAACACCTTTTGATGCTTTCCATGGTCCTACGGAAGTGAGGGATCTCTGTGGGCAGAGAGAATGTGGGGGGAGATCCCCTTCCAGACCCAGTGGGGACCAGGACACCTTTCTACTTCATTGGCAAGAAAGATGCTAAGATCCAAGTACCCAGGCATGCTGTGGCAAGGCCCCAAACATGGGGGTGACTCTGTCTCATGTCTCCTCTCCATTCCAGGCCCAGCCACTTCCCCGCCCCTCAGCACGACCACCACAGTCCGGCCCACACCCCTCACCAGCACGGCCTCGCCTGCAGCCACCACCCCACTCCGCCGGGCACCCCTCACCACACACCCGGTGGGTGCCATCAACCAGCTGGGACCTGACCTGCCTCCGGCCACAGCCCCGGCCCCCAGCACCCGGCGGCCCCCAGCTCCTAACCTGCACGTGTCTCCGGAGCTCTTCTGCGAACCTCGGGAGGTGCGGCGGGTCCAGTGGCCGGCCACCCAGCAGGGCATGCTGGTGGAGAGGCCCTGCCCCAAGGGGACTCGAGGTGAGTGCAGAGGCCTCGGTCACTCCCACGGTGGCTGGTTTGTGGGTGGCTTCTGCTGGTCTGGGCAGGGAAGAGACGGGGGACATAGCTTAACACAGGTGTACTTACCTGCCCATCTCCCCTGCCAGAGCAGGGGCCACACCTGGTATCTGCAGCTGTGTCCCCAGACTCCAACAGAGCTTCCAGGGCATAGCAGCTCAGTACCCTCCCCCGCCCCAAACCCTGTCCCCTCCTGCAGTGCTGAGCACCTGCCGCATGGAAAGCACTAGGTAGACCCTGCAGGGAGCCCTCAGAGGCGAGGTGGGTGTGTCCCAGTCTCAGGCTAAGATGGACCAGCCCTGGCAGCAGCTGATGGCAGGGAAGGCGGCAGTGGAAGTGCCAGAGGGGTGGGCCGTGACCATGTGCTCCAGGGATCTGAGAGAAGGGTCAGAAGAGGCTTGCTGGAGAGGAGGCTTCCATAATGGGCTTTGCTAAAAGGTTCTATTCCTGTAGGCAAAGATGGAAGGGGAGCCCAGAAGGAGAGCTTGGGAAGTCAGGGGTGACTTATGTCACCTCAGAATGACGCCTCTCTTGACTGTCTGGCCTGCTTCATGTCTGGTCTCCCATGTTCCCCTCACCTACTTGCCCTCTCTGTCATCTCCTTTCCCCCGCTTTGGCCCCTTTTCTCCTTCCTTGTGGCTCCCTTCTCCGTCCTGTCTGTCTGTCCCTGCAGGAATTGCCTCCTTCCAGTGTCTACCAGCCCTGGGGCTCTGGAACCCCCGGGGCCCTGACCTCAGCAACTGCACCTCCCCCTGGGTCAACCAGGTGGCCCAGAAGGTACCAGTAGCAGCTGCTCCTCTAGGCACCTGTGCACACTGGGCTCTGGGTGGCTGGGTGCAGGGTGCAGTGGAGCAGTGGGTCACAGGGAGACAAATGGGTGGCAGGTCTGGGAGGCAGGAATGTGGGTCCACTCTAGTGTACAGAGTGGGGAGAGGGCAAACAGGGACAAGGGGCAGCAGAGAGCAATGAGAAGGGCTGAGCAGACCGGGTATGTGCAAAGGGACCATGGGGAAGCGAGATGGCCCCTCACAGGGCCCGGTCCCCCACTTCTGCCTCATGCAGATCAAGAGCGGGGAGAATGCGGCCAACATTGCCAGTGAGCTGGCCCGCCACACCCGGGGCTCCATTTACGCGGGAGACGTGTCTTCCTCCGTGAAGCTGATGGAACAGCTGCTGGACATCCTGGATGCCCAGCTGCAGGCTCTGCGGCCCATTGAGCGCGAGTCGGCTGGCAAGAACTACAACAAGGTGGGGCCTGGCAGCAGGGCCAGGGGTGGGCTCTGTCCTGGAGGCTCAGGAAGGCTGTGGCCTAATAGCTAAGAGCTGGGCTGCCACCCACGATGGTCAGAGGAAGGAAGGTCGGAGTGCAGGCCTGCTGGTCTCCCTGTGGGTTGGGGGATCCCTTAGGAACAACTCTTACTCATGGCCCAGCACCTGGTCGGTGGCAGACACAGGAGAGTGAGAGTGTTGGAATGAGTAGGGCAGGAGGCCAGGCCTGACAGTGCCTCCATCCCTTTCCTTAGATGCACAAGCGGGAGAGAACCTGCAAGGACTACATTAAGGTGAGGCCCAGAGGGCTTCTGTCTGAGGAGGTGGAGCAGGCCCCAGGAGGCAATGGGGTGGGGGTGGGGTGAGACTGAAAGGCGGGGACACGAGGCCGTCCTGAGGAACTGGAGGATGCGGGGGGACTCATGGCACCCCCCCAAGCTTTCCTCCTCCCCCCACCCCCACCCCTCTCCCTGCTCCTTTAGGCTGTGGTGGAAACGGTGGACAACCTGCTGCGGCCAGAGGCTCTCGAGTCCTGGAAGGACATGAATGCCACGGAGCAGGTGCACACGGCCACCATGCTCCTGGATGTCCTGGAGGAGGGTGCCTTCCTGCTGGCCGACAATGTCCGGGAGCCGGCACGCTTTTTGGCTGCCAAGCAGAATGTGGGTGAGTGCTATGGCCTCGCCGGGGCAAGCTTGAGTGCAAACCTTGAACTGTGGGGCCCAGCTGTTACAGAGACCACCCTGGCCCTTGACCTTGGGCCCCTGGACTGGGCACAGATTCCAATCCCGTACGCCCCGCCATCCTCTGTCCCACAGTCCTGGAGGTCACAGTTCTGAACACAGAGGGCCAAGTGCAGGAGCTGGTGTTCCCCCAGGAGTACCCGAGCGAGAACTCCATCCAGCTGTCCGCCAACACCATCAAGCAGAACAGCCGCAATGGTCAGTGCCCCTTCTTGTCTTCTTCCGCGTGGCTCCCTGAAATCCTCTGCTCAAGCTGGGGGGATATTGCAGGGTACTCACGGGGTCCTCCCAAAGCCCCGTGGAGCCAGGACACTTCAGTCTGCGGGGCTAACTTCGGTGCAGCAGCAGCTGATCTCAGAGCTCAGGGTCTGTCCCATTTGAGACTAAGGCACAGAGAGGTTAGGGATTTGCTCGAGATCACACAAGTGAGAGGTGCCCAGGGACCCAGCCGCTGCGTGTTCTGGCCTGCTGTCCTGTTGTTTGGCACTGCCTGCCACCGAGCAGCTGTCCCGGGGCAGGGTTCTCTGAGCTCCACTCGCGTGGGCTTCGCCTGGCAGAGCCAGGTCCCAGTGGCCAGAGCTGCACCAGCCCAGGGCCAGCGGCAAACCCGGCTACACCTGTCCTCCCAGGGGTGGTCAAAGTCGTCTTCATCCTCTACAACAACCTGGGTCTCTTCCTGTCCACTGAGAACGCCACGGTGAAGCTGGCGAGCGAAACGGGCACAGGCAGCCCAGGGGGCACCTCCCTGGTGGTGAACTCCCAGGTCATCGCAGCCTCTATCAATAAGGAGTCCAGTCGTGTCTTCCTCATGGACCCTGTCATCTTTACTGTCGCCCACCTGGAGGTGAGCTGAGGCATCGCCCACCCTCCAGGAGGGTCCCAGCATCTTTGGTGTTCCCACGCTGCACATCCCCCTGCTCATCCACCCAGAAGCAAGTTTGCACCCCTCCCTGGGCCATGCACCCCCTTACAGCCCCCACCTCAGCTGCTTAGGTCATCTGTGTCCCCAGAGATACCAGGTGCCACCTGGAGCGCCAAGCACTTCTCATGCTTGTTGCTATCCCTGGAGCTGGGTGAGGGCTGGAGAGGGACTCCCCAGATCTGACTCCCCGGCCACCACCACACAACAGGCCAAGAACCACTTCAATGCTAACTGCTCCTTCTGGAACTACTCGGAGCGCTCCATGCTGGGCTACTGGTCGACCCAGGGCTGCCGCCTGGTGGAGTCCAACAAGACCCACACCACATGTGCCTGCAGCCACCTCACCAACTTTGCCGTGCTCATGGCTCACCGTGAGATCGTAAGCTGGCTGGCGCTCCGCTGCGCTCTCCTGGCGGGCCCACTCTCTGGCCCAGCTTTGCATGGCATCATAGAGTGAAGCATGGGCAGTGCCAGGGAAGACCAGCTTCATGGGCATGGGGGGCCACCAGTCTTGCCCAGGGCACAAGGCCGCACATCTGGTTCTCTCTGGTCACACGCCCGCCTTCTCCCAAGGCCCTCTGGAGAAGCAAGTTGGTGTCACCTTTGTCATCTCTCCACCCGCCTTCCAGAGCATGAGGAAGTGAGCGCGCCGCCTGCAGAGGGGTGGGGCCCGCAAGTTGGCCAGGGGCAGAAGGCCAGGGGTGGGGGCTGCACCAGCAGTACTTGTGGCCTGCAGCCTTGCCTCCAGCTGGCACTCAGCTGAGCCCAGGGTGAGCCCGGCTGTGGTCAGGGTTGCTGAGTGCACCCTCTGCTGTCCCCCAGTACCAGGGCCGCATCAACGAGCTGCTGCTGTCGGTCATCACCTGGGTAGGCATCGTGATCTCCCTGGTCTGCTTGGCCATCTGCATCTCCACCTTCTGCTTCCTGCGGGGACTGCAGACTGACCGCAACACCATCCACAAGAACCTGTGCATCAACCTCTTCCTGGCTGAGCTGCTCTTCCTGGTTGGCATAGACAAGACTCAGTATGAGGTGGGCCAGGCACAAGGTAGGGGGTAGGGGGAGGCAGGAGAGGCCACCTGGCTGGGCAGCCCCTCTCATTTGTGGTACCCTCGCCCCCCAGATTGCCTGCCCCATCTTCGCTGGCCTGCTGCACTACTTTTTCCTGGCTGCCTTCTCCTGGCTGTGCCTGGAGGGTGTGCACCTCTATTTGCTGCTGGTAGAGGTGTTTGAGAGCGAGTACTCCCGCACCAAGTACTACTACCTAGGTGGCTACTGCTTCCCAGCCCTGGTGGTAGGCATCGCAGCTGCCATTGACTACCGCAGCTATGGCACCGAGAAGGCGTGAGTGCCTCCCCCCACCCCCATCTCCCCTCTTGCTTGGTTCCCTTGGGGCACTGGGCTCCTGGGGTCAGAGGGAGGGAACCCCTGCCCGCCCGCCTCTATCTACCGGCCCTGCTTCCTTTATAGCTGCTGGCTCCGCGTGGATAATTATTTCATCTGGAGCTTCATTGGGCCCGTCTCCTTTGTGATTGTGGTAAGCTGGAAGGTGGTACCCCAGTACTGCGTCTCCATCCTTTATCCAGGCTAGCCTTGTCCCCGAACAATCCCAGTCTCCCCAAGCCCTTAAAAACCGTGGGAACTGAAGAGCCAAAGAGGACGAGAGCTCAGAGGGTCTGTAGAGCTCCAGCATAGAGGTTCCCCCATCCGGGTGTTGGAATTTGAGCCCCTGCTCTGTGGCAGGCTGTGGGCCCCATCCTTCCAGGAGCGGGAACCCTGTTAATTGACAGTTACACCAGTGGTGAGCACCTGGGGCAGGTACACCTGTAGGAGAGACCCTAAATAGGAGGTCCAGGCTGAGACTTGGCCAGAATCTCGCACTGTAGGCAAAGCAACCCCAGCACAGCCCCCACCTTGTCCTGCCCCCAGGTGAACCTGGTGTTCCTCATGGTGACCCTGCACAAGATGATCCGGAGCTCATCTGTGCTCAAGCCTGACTCGAGTCGCCTAGACAACATTAAGTGAGCACCCCCTCCCTGCACCCCTGCCACCAAAAACTCCACAAAGGCCTCTCCCAGGACTTTGTAAAATGTAGTGCTGTCAGTCTGTTATCACACAATATGATTTAAGGACAAAGTGATGTCTTATTGTGCTTGTTATATATCTACCTCATGTGTATTAAAAAACCTGGCATTAGCATATTCAACCTGTGGTTTGGAGGACATACCTGAATAACTGCTGAGGGCGAGACTGAATTCAAAAGTGAGTCTATTTCAGGGCAAGTTAAAGAGAAATAGACAACAAAATATAGTTTAAAGGCCTGGAAATAGGGCCAAAAGGATGAAGGATGCAGGGAATGACTGACCATTCACAAACCCCGGCCCCCGACCTTTGCTTGCCCCTCAGACCCAGGCTGGGTGGAAGTATCGCTGGGCAGGGGTTATCCCGAGGCCTACTCACTTAGGTAGGCCTCTGCAGAGCGCGTCCAGGCCCACGGAGGCCAACAGGGGAAGCATCACCACTAGCGGGTCTTTGATGTCCCCGCCTTCTCTCCCACCCTCCCCAGATCCTGGGCCCTGGGGGCCATCGCGCTGCTCTTCCTGCTCGGCCTCACCTGGGCCTTCGGCCTCCTCTTCATCAACAAGGAGTCGGTCGTCATGGCCTATCTCTTCACCACCTTCAACGCCTTCCAGGGGGTCTTCATTTTCGTCTTTCACTGCGCCTTACAGAAGAAGGTGAGGTCAGGGAGGAGGCCCAGGTGCCTGCCTCCTGCTGCAAGGGGAGCACGGGCTCAGCGTCGGGGAGGAGTTAGCCAGGGGTGAAGAGATCTGGAAAAGAGCAGGATGGAAGACTGGAAGAGCAAGAAAACAGGGTGGATTTGGGACATGGTGATGGGGCCTCTTCCCAGGATTTGGGGCACGAAGCAGGCATGCGAAATGGAGATGACCCTGGGCCCCATCCAGACAGACGTTTCCTACTTGAATAGTTATGAGATAAACTATGAGTTTTGTGGTGATGGAAAGTTTCCTTTTTAAATAAAACATGTTAAAAATCTAAATCTTAAGAAAGTAAATGAAGGTGCTAACAGAAGCAGAGGAATGTGGAGAGGCCATACAGGACGCAAGCCATGGAAACTGAGCCAAGGCATTTGTCTGGTTGGTCCTGAAGGCAGTGGCGGGGAGGGAGGGCTTTCAGACTGTTAGTCTCGGGGGACAGTGAGGTGGGTCAGGCTCAGGTTGGGGATGGAGATGCCAATCAGAGTCCCGCGTGTTTGACTGTATCCCTCCTCCTGTTAAAACTGGCAGCCCCCATTGGACACACAGGGACAGTGACATCTTTATAGGAACCTCTAGGCACTCAAGGTCCAACCAGGGCCCCTTCTATTCCCTCTTCCAGCAGTGCCCTCCTCTGCCCTCTCCCAGACACTAGACACGCACCCTCCTCATGGCTTGTTCCCGGCTCCTCCCCAGATAGATAGCCACAGGGCCTGCTGTCTATTTCTCTCAAGTCTCTGCCGAAACGTCTGCTTCTCAGTGAGGCCTCTCCTGATTGATTTGAAATCTGCAAACCACCACCACCACTCCACTCCCCACCTAACCCCTCCTCAGCCATAGGTCTTTGCAGCACCTAACACGATAGACATCCTGCGTTATGTACAGATGTTTGCATCTATGTTATGTCTCTGTCTACTAAAATAGCAGCTCGGAAAGGTAGGGCTTTACGTCTGATTTGTTCTGATTATCCCCGGAGCCTAAACCATGCCTGCCACATACAGGATATGCATTAAAGAGCTGTTGAGTCACTGAAAAGGTAAGAAACTGGTGGAGGTGAAGAACCGAAGATGGGCCTGAGCGAGGAGAGGGAGTCTCCCTGGATGGCTGCTGGGGGCCAGGACAGGTTTCTGATGCCCGCCCGTAGCTTGGTCTCTGGTCTCTGAGTGGGAGTGCCTGCTACCAGCTGCCTGTTCTCCCGTCTCCCAGGTGCACAAGGAGTACAGCAAGTGCCTGCGACACTCCTACTGCTGCATCCGCTCCCCGCCCGGGGGGGCTCATGGCTCGCTTAAGACCTCAGCCATGCGGAGCAACACCCGTTACTACACAGGGACCCAGGTACCTGAGCTGGGGCCAGGCGCTAGGCAGGGCTCCCTGGGACTGAGTGTTAGACCCGGGAGCCCCAAGGGCGGGCAGTGCTTTGCCCAGGTCCCTGGTGGTGGTCACAAGGCGAGTGGTCTCAGAAAACTTCTGGAGGGTGGGCAGCTTGAGGGCCCCCTTATGTCTGGGCTGTATCCCCAGAGCCGAATTCGGAGGATGTGGAACGACACCGTGAGGAAACAGACAGAATCTTCCTTCATGGCGGGTGACATCAACAGTACCCCCACTCTGAACCGAGGTGAGACAGTATCCCTGGTCCCTGGCTTCAGTCCCCTGAGATCCTGGCCTATGTCTCCAAGCCGCCCTGTTACTTCTGACCTCCTGGGCAGGTACCATGGGGAACCACCTGCTGACCAACCCCGTGCTGCAGCCCCGTGGGGGCACTAGCCCCTACAACACCCTCATTGCCGAATCAGTGGGCTTCAATCCCTCCTCACCCCCCGTCTTCAACTCCCCAGGTAAGAATACTCCAGTGCTGGGAGAGGGAAATGCCCAGGTCAGGGAGCGTGGGGTCTGCATCCTGAGGGGTTTTCACTTGGGGTGCCCTTGTGCCTCCTGAACTGGAGTCCAGACTCAACATTCCAAGCCTATTCACCTTCTTTCTTTTCCCTCCTGGCCTGGCACCTGCAGGGAGCTACCGGGAACCCAGTACGTGAGACTTTCCTGGTAACATTTCCGAGGCTGGGAGGGGAATGAGGAGGCCTCCTTATTTAGGGAGGAGAACTCATAGAGTGCGTCTCCCTCTCGCCCCAACACACACCCACACGCATATGCATGCAGTCTCTGGTTTGGCAGCTGCTTGGTGTTGTATTTGGGCCTTAGACAGGGAATGAAGATGAGGGTCAAGCACAGGTTTCTCTCCCAGCCGGGGGCTCAGAATCTTAGCGGTCACCCCCGTCTCCCCATCTTCTCACACTGCTAAGTTTCTGAGCCCCTGGCTGGGAAGGAAACCTGGGAACATTGATCTCCACAACCCCCCACCCCCCACCCTTCCCACCAGCCTGCATGATGGGTATCCCCACTGCCAATGAGGAAGAGAGGGAATGAAAGAACTAGTCCCCAGGGACAGGGGTAAACCCAGGCAGCCCCACCCCACATGGCCTGGATCCTTCCGGGTGCCTGGCCCTCCTCCTGAGCCAGCCCCCTTCTACCTGCAGAGCACCCCTTGGGAGGCCGGGAAGCCTGTGGCATGGACACACTGCCCCTCAACGGCAACTTCAACAACAGTTACTCCTTGCGAAGTGGGGATTTCCCTCCAGGGGATGGGGCGCCTGAGCCACCCCGAGGCCGGAACCTGGCAGATGCTGCCGCCTTTGAGAAGATGATCATCTCGGAGCTGGTGCACAACAACCTGCGGGGCAGCAGCAGCGGGGCCAAAGGCCCTCCACCGCCTGAGCCCCCGGTGCCACCTGTGCCGGGGGGTGGCAGTGAGGAAGAGGCTGGTGGGCCCGGGAGTGCTGACCGGGCAGAGATTGAACTTCTCTACAAGGCCCTGGAGGAGCCCCTGCTGCTGCCCCGGGCCCAGTCGGTGCTGTACCAGAGCGATCTGGACGAGTCGGAGAGCTGCACAGCAGAGGACGGGGCCACCAGCCGGCCCCTTTCCTCCCCTCCGGGCCGGGACTCCCTCTATGCCAGTGGGGCCAACCTTCGGGACTCGCCCTCCTACCCGGACAGCAGCCCTGAGGGGCCCAGCGAGGCCCTGCCCCCTCCCCCACCCGCACCTCCTGTCCCCCCTGAAATCTACTACACCTCGCGCCCTCCAGCCTTGGTGGCCCGAAACCCCCTGCAGGGCTACTACCAGGTGCGGCGGCCCAGCCACGAAGGCTATTTGGCAGCCCCAGGCCTTGAGGGGCCAGGGCCTGATGGGGATGGGCAGATGCAGCTGGTCACCAGCCTCTGAGGGACCTCATGGACCAGGGGCTGGTGGCCCAGGCCAGGGAGGGAACCCTGAGTAGGGCTCTGATGGCATAGGGAGACTGAAGGAGGCAGTGGCTGGAGGGCCACTTTCCAGGCATCCCTTGACTGAGGGCCCTCCAGGCCTCTTGGGGGCTCTGCTATGGAGAGCTGAGGTGCAGGGTTCACAGACAGGGTTTCCCACCAGCCACACGCACCAGCTTACTTTGGGGGAAATGCCATGAGGAGGAACCCAGAGATCCCAAGGGGAATAAGGAAGGAGAAATCGGAAGGGTACATCTCACTCTCGACTTCCCCCTTCCCGCGACTCTTCCAAACTGCTGGAGAGAAATGAGGGCTTTGGTGTCCCTGGACCAACGGCCCTGCTGGATGGAACCTATCAATCTGCACCTCTTTCTGTAGTCGGAAATGCTAGGCTGCACCAGAAGGGAGCACTGGGGCAGAAGGACAGATGGACAGGTTCCTCCTATACTGCAGCTCCCTGCTCCCAGAGACTGGGGCCTCTGGCCCAGGAGATACGCCCCAGGGCAAGAGGAATGGGCATTCGTGGCTGATGGTGTAAAGGTTGAATTTTTCTCTGAAGCTCCTTCCCTCTGCTCTTAGTCCCTGCCTCCCCAGCAAACCTGCCCCCTCTGCTCTCCTCGAGTGCACCCAATGACCCCCTCCCTTGGGGTGACTCCTGATGAAGCACAACTCCCTGAAGGGCCCCCAGCCCACAGGGGTGGCCATATTTGGGCAGTTCCAATCCTGTGGGCTTGGCTATCTGGGGAGCAGATTTTGGGTCTGGATCTCCCTGGGGAGTGGGTCCTGGGTTTGGATCTTTCCCTAGGGGGCCTTCTTTCCTTTCCTCTTTCCTCCTCTCTCGTTGCTGTAAATATTTCAAAGAAATGGAAAAGACAAAAAAAAGAAAAAAAAAAAAAAAAAAGAAAGAAAATCTCATCACTTGAAGCCACCAGGAGCCTGTGGCCCAGCCCGCCCGGGCTTTCTCCGGAGCAGAGCGATACCGCTGGGCCCTGGCAGCCCGGACTTCTCCGTGTGCGTGTGCATCCCCGGCCAGGTGGGCGGCCACCAGAGCAGCTTTTTACAATCCAGAGACAGAAAGAAAAAAAAAAAAAACTAGAAGCAACAGCAAAACAAAGAACCTGTTTCCTTCCAGGCACCTATTTCTGTTGCCTCCTTCCCTGCTCCGCCTGACCCTGGCATCCATCAGCCCTCCTGGGGCGTGTACCTCACTGCCTGCCCCAGGACCAGGGAGCTGTCTACCCCTTTCCTCCCCACTGGCCCAGGGGAGGCACCCTTCACGCCCAAAGATGCTTTTGCCAAGATGGCTGTGCTGTCCCTTTGAGTTCCTGCCTCTTGTATATTGCTTCTGGAACTCTGGGCTGGGGATGAGGGGCTGATTTCCTGCCTAGAGAGGTTAATGGGGGAGGAAAATGAGGACAGCAGGGTTTGATGTGACTGAGGAGGACCGACCAGGAATGATGAGGTCTTGTTTGGGTGTGAGTGGGGGTGGGTATAGGATGCAAAGGTGAAATAGCACCTTCCCTACCATAGACCCTCCAATAGAGGAGGCAAAGGAAGATACCAGGGCCTCTAGTCAGGACACCCATGTTGTGGGGCTCAACCCTAAACCTGCAGGCCCTAAAGAAGTATCGGGTTTGGAATGTCTCCTGAGTACCTCTTCTGGCCCCCTCTCTAGCCTGTCCCTCTGGCCCTCCTGAACACACACATTCTGGGGGTAGTATAGTCCCATTGCCACACTAACACAGCCCCATAATTGCCATTTCCTTGGGGGTGGCTCTCCACCTCTGCTCAGACCCCCTCGTCGCTTTTGCCCCTTCCTCTTTTCTCACAAGTGCCATGAGTTTTCAAACATCTTTGGGTCTCAGTCTGCTGCTACCATGAACTTTTTGGGTTAAAGGGGAGGGGCTCTAGGGAGAAACTAGAGAAAAGGGACAGGTAGGTGGCTGGAGGGGCCCTTTTTGCTGCTAGAAAGCCCCTCCCTTCTGGGGAGCTGAGGCTGGCTTGTCCCCATCAGGGGAGAAGGGGTCAGACCAAAGATGGTGGTTTGTCCTGTGTAGGAGTACTTGTGTGGGGAGAAGGCAGTGTTGGGTTCCATCGCTGGCTTTTTCTGGCTGGGAGGCTTACCCCTGTTCGGAAGGCCATGGGTGAGTCTGGACCCAGGAAAGTAAGGGTGGGGATGATCTTGTCCCGATGGCTCTGTGGGGAGGATGGGAACCAGCTCTGTGGCCTGTCTTGGTTTCAAGAGGGGCAGCTAGAGGTCTGCAGAGAGCTGGCAGGAGATGCGGGTAAATGGAGGAGATGGCCTGGCCCATGTATCGGCCCAGCTAGGACCAGCGGCTGCCTCTGACACCAGGAGGACTGGCAGAGTTAGCAGGGTGGGAGAGTTTCCAGGGGAACTGGAGGCATGCAAGGAGCCCCCCATCCTCTCCCTGCCCTGCTTTTTAACTCCAGACGGACAATCAAGGGGAGAGAGGGTCAGTGGGTCCCTTGGTTCCCATTCCAGCCAGATTCACCGAGGTGAATTCCTAGGCCTCAAAGCTGTGTGCAAGGCCCCCTGGTGGGGCTGAACACCACTGCAACACAGTGCAAAACCTCCACCCAGAGCCCAGGTGTCCATCCCCGCACCCCGACCAGACCTGGTGCCTTGACACCCCCACCCCCGCTGGGACGGTATAGAGAAGAAAGGGTCTCGGTTTCCTCTCCTATTCCTTTCCTTGGGCTCCTGAATTCATTTGCTCTTCAATCTTAATTTTTATCTGGGGTGGTTTTGTTTTGTGGGTGTGTTTTTTTGTTTTCCTTGCCTTCCTTTCTGTGTCTCCACCTCTTTCCATTTTTCTCACTGTCTCTATGTTCCTCTTCTCTCTCAATTTCTCTGTCCATTCGGGCCTCCCCTCCTCCATGCCCCCTTTGGTCTCCTTTTCGATATGCCAAACCAATTTTGGGTCGAGTGCATTTAACGAGAACAAAACAAAAAAGGCTCATAACAACAAGAACGTTTCAGAAAAAAAGTTTTAAAAAATTGTTGAGTCAAAAAAACAATAAAGAAAATAAGATTTCTTGGAATAACGAATGGTGTGACTCATTGAGGGGGGAGAATCAGGTGAGTGGGTCTGCACTGAGCACCCACATGAGGCTCTGACACTGAGGAGCCTGAACCATGGCAGAAGCCTGGAGTCACAGAACCAGAACCTACTCAGAACTTGGTAGGTTCTTGGGCCTGGCAGAGCAGCAATTCAGGTACAGTTTTTCATTGAACACTCTAGGGTGGGTAATGGTTAAAACTCTAATTTAAAAACAGAGAAACAGGCTTACAACACCTACATACATATCCTAATCCAGTGGTCAGCAAACTCATTAGTCAACAGAGCCAAATATCAACAGTACAACAATTGAAATTTCTTTTGAGAGTCAAATTTTTTAAACTTAAACTTCTAACACCACTTCAAAACAGACTCGCCCAGGCCGTGGTATTTTGTGGAAGAGCCACACTCAAGGGGCCAAAGAGATGCATGTGGCTTGCAAGCCACAGTTTGCCGACCCCGGCCCTAGTCTCTGGGCCAGCAACTCTGACGTGTCTAGAGAAGCCCTTCCTGGCCTGGCTTTATTAGAACAAAAAAGACCTGTGCGCTGTGCCTGTCTGATTCCTAGACTCCCACACACTACTGAAATGGTGCTTTTTCGAAAGTGACAACACAATGGATTTGCAGCATGTGTATTTCAAATTCTCAAATAGAACTGCCAGTACACAGAGAAATGACCACTCCAACAGTGAAACTATCTCCATGCTCCTCTGTCCTCAACACCACACTCCCTCTTTTCTCCTCCCATCTCCCCAGCCACTCCTTCCCAGTCCTGGTGGCTGGTGCCTTCTCGTGTCTTGACCTCTTAATGCAGGCAAGGCCAGGAGCTCAGCCTTAGACCTTTTCCCTACCTACTCTGGGAAAGCTTGCCCCATCTCATGGTTTTAAATGCTATCAATATGCTGATGAGTCCTGAACATATAGCTCCAGTCTAAACTATAATACCTCGAGCTCCAGATTTACATTCATCCAACATCACACTCCACATCTACCCCAGGGTGTCTATTAGGATCTCAAACTTAATCTGTCCCAAACCAGATTAATTAAATTCCTGACCACCACTCCCCAGCTCCTCCCAAATGCTCCTCAATGGCAAGTCCATCCCAAGACTCAAACTAAAACCCTTGCAGATTCTCTTGAACTCATCTCCTTGTTTCATCTATTCTGACAGTAAATGCTTCGGCGGCTCCAACATTAAAATATCCAGCATTGCCCTAACTGGTTTGGCTCAGTGGATAGAGCGTTGGCCTTCGGACTGAAGGGTCCCAGGTTTGATTCCGGTCAAGGGCGTGTACCTTGATTGCAGGCACATACTCAGTAAGGAGTGTACAGGAGGCAGCTGACTGATGATTCTCTCTCATCGATGTTTCTAACTCTCTATCCCTCTCTCTTCCTCTCTTAAAAAAATCAATAAAAAATATTTTAAAAATATATCCAGCATTAACTAGTTCTCACCACTTTGGTTCAAGCCAACCCTGTCTTTCACTAAAGACTACTGCAGAGTCTCCTTACTAGCTCCCTTGTCCCCTGTCAGGCTTTTCTCAACACAGAAACCACAGAGATCTTGGTAAGCATATTTTGTCCTTCTTAGGCTCAAAACTATCCAATGGCCTCCTCTCTCACCCAGATAAAAGGCCAACGGCGCAATTGCTAACAAGGCCCTACAGAGCTCATTCCCATGGCTCCAGCCTTCCTTCCACGCCAGCCACACTGGGCTCCGCATCTGCAAACATGCAGGCACTCTCCTGCCTGCCTCAGGGCCTTTGCAATGGCTGTTCTAGCAGAGCTTTTGCAAATCAGAGCTTCCCAGCAGGTTACTCCATTTAAACTGCTGTTGGCCACCCCAGAACTTCCCAAACCTGGTCCTGCTTTGTCTCTCATA